AGGAAGGATGCAGTCAGTTTCCCCAAATGGGCTGCTGATGTGGAACTGCCCTGGGCTCTGTTCACTGTGTTCCTCACACTGAGGTGGCCAGAGTAGAGTCAGTTTTAGCAGTAAACAGCTATATGTTCTCTGAGGAGGAAAATTGATAATAATGATGATGATAAAGAAAATATTTTAAATATTCAAGCCAAGCATTCCTTTCACATTAGTTGACATAGTGGGCTAACACGTTGACTTATATACTACATTGAACTCCTTTGATATGTCTTTCTCTTTGCAGCCACACGCTATGGGAAGGGAACCTATTTTGCTGTCCATGCTTCCTATTCAGCTGATGATACATATTCCAAACCAGATGCCAATGGGAAGAAGCATATGTATTACGTGCGGGTTCTCACTGGAAACTACACAACTGGAAACCAGTCACTGATTGTGCCTCCTCCACGGGACCCTCAAAATCCTACTGACTTGTACGACACTGTCACAGATCTTTATCAAAACCCAAGTATGTTTGTAGTGTTCTATGACAATCAAGCATACCCAGAGTATCTCATCACCTTTAGGCGATGACACTTCAGGTCACCTTCATGCATCTGCTGCAAGACAGATTTTAACTGTCTTCCTCCTTATGCTGTCTCTAAGAGCACAAGGTCTTTCTTTGCCGTGGACGTTTCCTCTGCTGCTTCTCCATGGTGGAAATGAATCCACTTGAGAGCCAATCAAATTGAGAATTTAAATCAGCTAACAGCTGAAGCCATGCTATCTCAAATGTGACAGTAACACCCTCACAGACTTTGAGGAAGCCACGCAGTTCTGGCTACCACCAGTGGAATCGTGTCAGAGAGGCAGTGTGCCGTGGGGACACACAGTGTCACTGAGCCAGTAAGGCTGCCAACTGCCAACTGAACAGATCCAGAGCAGAGACCCTCTTCCTTCACTACCAGCCCTGTGCTATGTGGGCTGCACAGCCACCAGACCTGGCTAACGTTGTCCTTCTAATTTTCTCCTGTCAGTTTCAGACTCAGTGTCGTTTATTGAGTGCCAGACTTTGCCAGGTAGAGTGATAGATGCGGTCACAAACATGACCTTGTTCCCATGAATAGTGCTTTGGGAAGAGTTTTTCAGGGCTTAAGCGAATATGTTCAGAGTAGTTCAAGTGGAGCAAGGGTCACCATTGCTACCACAACAACACAGAGGCCTTGGAACCTCTGCTGCTGTTTCTAAGTGGGCTGGCACAGACTGTGACTTAGGAGGGGCTGGCTTCCTCTGCACTGGCATCTGAACTCGGTGCTAGCAGTGGTCTAAGGAAATGGAATAAAAATGAGAGGTCTGATTTCATCTGCTTTT